GAGATTTCAGATGTTCAGATTACAATGTCACCAATGAAGGAAATGCTTGGGTTTGTGCCAAAAAACGTCAACCAAATCGAGTGTGCACGCAATAATTTAATAGTACAAAATTAAATTCAGTTTTGTTTGGGCTGCTTTGGCAATATTCGATTCCACGTTAAACAATACTCATATGGCTGTATCTGTGCTGTAGGAATATATTACTTACATAAAGTTTGAAGACATTACTGAAGTATGCTGGTGTATGCACATTTACAAATGCTCATACCAACATACAAATAAAAATACAAAATACAGCATAGGCCTATATTCAAGCTGTAAACAGATGTACGATAAATGTAATACTACAAATGTTTCAATGACACAAACTCATTTCTAATGTTCTCTGGAGTAAATAGTAATAAAAGAATCCCTGTGGAGATCCAGTTTTGTGGAGATCCAGTTTTATGAAGTCCTTTGAAATGCTGAACTGTGAAGGACTGAACTTTGTCCACCTTACTCAGTTGACAACCATTAAATTCAGTGCTACAGTCCCACTTCATAAATCCAAAGATCATTTTCTATTTTAGCTATTGCTAGTATCTCCAGAAGAAATAATGCCTTTTTCAAACCCTAACCCACAGATTTAATTTCTGACTCTCCTCTGATCAACAGCAATGAGAATCAATACTTAATTTTTATAACATAGTCAGTATTGTCCAACCCAGTACTGTTCAATCCAGATCTGTTCAGATTCCTGGATTAGAGCTAATATAATGGCTTACCCATAATGAGATTAATTTCTTGTTGGTGAATACGTTCTCAGTAATAATGCTGAAGGGATGAATAGAAACTTTTGATAAGAAGGATCCCATATAGCATAATTAAACATGCAAGCTAATTATCCATTCTTATACAAATAATAATGGTATTATTTTTGCTATGTAAGTGTTTTTCATGCTCAGGGCACAGTGAAACAGTTCAAAATTCCCCAAACACATGCTATTTTAGTGGGACTATTTGGAAGGAGAAAAAAAGTTTGCTATAATTTAGGACTTGCACTTTGTTCAAGACAAATGAGAGAAGATGCAAAACAGAATGGAAAAGAAACATGGTTAAAGTTAAAAAGAGGACATCAAAGTAGGAAGACAAGGAACCCGACACTGATTCCGCAGAAAAGAGGAAAAAATGCTTTGTGTCTGATTTTTGAAAAGTCATTAAATGAGTCTGTGAGCAGAACCCACACTTTTTACTGCCCATTTGGTAAAACTGAATGCAAATGCCCAAATTCTGCCACTGGCACACGCCTTGTATGGGGACAGGATGATGACAGCAGCATGTATAAATTCATCTGACACAGACCTGCACAGTTTTGTCCATTTCATGGTTTTAATTTAGACCCTTTATTTATCTCCTAAATAAGTGCCCGCAAATACACCGACTTCCACAAAAATGGCAGTAGTTGGTACAAAAATCAGATAAGACCTTACACACAAAGCTCAAAGAGATCAAAAAGCTACTCAATTGGTAATGTGGCTTGTGCAGAACCTCAGGAACATTGGGAGTTTGTTTTTACAGAAATTATCTGGAGCAGCAAGTGCCAAAAAACAGGGATTACTTCATCACCAGCATTTCGTTTTCCTTCTTAAGAAGAGGAGGATAGACAAAAGAAACAGAGAAGAGTAAGAGGAAAAACTGGTTTCTTAATTGATCCAGGAAGGAGGAGGAAAAAGACAGTGACATGAAGGTGCCAATATTTCAGCACCCTGTGTGGAACTGATCCTACAGGAAGCAGGATGGGGTTTACACAGCAGGTAAGAAAGGAGGGAAGAGAGAGACGTTGTCCATGAGAAAAGGTACAAACTGGATTGCCTTTCTGTTTGAAAGGTATTTGAAATTCAAGCTCAGATCTGAGGGCTGAACCTCTGCAGTTTGAGCAGCATCATCCTTTGTTGTATGCAGCAGAATAAATGCTGCCCTTTGTTGTATCCCAAATGAAGCTGAAGCCAAGAGCTGAGGACTTCACATCAAAAACTTATTCTTTAACAAATTCAGTTTCTCATCACACACTGCTAGAGTGATTTTGTTCTGCTGTTTTAAGAATACTTGCAAGCAGTATCCCCATTTCAAACTATCAAACTATCAAGGATTTATTTAATGCAATACCAGTGCAATACAATCAGCAAAAATACTGTATAAAAGAGAAAACTTTCCCAGTTATTCCTATGAAAGCACAGGATACAGTTGCAGCACTGCCCCTCTTTAAAGAGCACATCCTGCATTAAATCAGGATATAGCTAAATGTGGCCAAACCCAGACCACTTAAACAGACGGAACAAGAAAGAAACAGATTCAAACATCACTTTTTCAAGAAATTTGTCAAATCAAGAGGTTTCAAGGTTTACTTTTTATCCTCTGCTGTTTCTTTAATGACACCTACAGCTCCAACAGCAGCTACCTAAAGTGTTAGCAAGTCAGGAGCCAAAGCTCCCATACTGTCTTTTTCTTTTCTTTCTCTCCAAGCATGTTGCCATTCCAAAGCATAACACTGACCTGAAGTTTAGCCAGTTTCTGAAAGGGAGCTACAAGTAATTCAGGTGTAAGTAATTTAGGCAGCAGAGACACCTGCTCTCCACTCCACTGTTCCAGCCTCACAGATCTTTTCATCTCAAAGTCCATGCCAAAGGCAAGGTTCCTTGTCCTACTGCTGCTTGATGAAAGGCCAACACTCACAGTTCTGGAAAAACAGTCTACAAGGAACAAAAAAGGAAGAGAAATCAAGTTGTCTGCAGCTGAAAGGGAGAGCAGAGTGACACCAAATCATCTGTCAGCCCTTCCTACTGCAGCCTGACCCACACACCCTCTCCTTGCCCCCAGCTGTGCATTCCTGTGGCCTCCTTAGTTCCACCACAATATGTAGTCAGTCAGAACAAGGAGCTGATCCAGCAGAAAATTAATTCAGCAAAAACAAATACATAAATGGTTAAAAAAATACTTTAAAAACAAAATAAGTTTCCTGACTTGTGTGTAAGTATTGGTACCAGCATTGGAGAGAGGTGGGGTTGCACAGCTGAAGGTCCAGGCTAGGGTGGGATGAGAAAAATAAGTTTTTCTCAGGGGGAGCCTGGCTTTAAATCAGCTTAAATTGATCTAGAAACCACACCCTCGGCAAGAAAGAAATTTAGGCAAATACTTGCCTAGTTAAGAGCAGGTTAGTGCTGCTCCTCAGGAAGTACAAAAGATGCTGGAGAGTTTGATCTTAACTGGGCAGCCAAGATGCAGCTGCTCAGGTACTGGTGTTTTCATTAGTGGGGAGCACTGGGACAGCAGCTATAGGGGTGATATTTTGAGCAGCCCCACTGGCACCAGTAAGTTGAGCAAGTGCTCCCATGTTACCTAAGGTGGATATGGCTTCACAACCTCTCTCCCCCCACCATTCTCCCAGAGCTTAAGGCATTCCTAAACATGTGTTAGGATTGAGCCAGGACTTCAATGCTGGTTCCACCACTATTTCAATAGTGCCATGAGTCATTTTGATGTGATGTTTCAGTTTCCCTGTTATTATGAGGTGCACATGCATGTATACAAACACATGAAATCATTCATCATGTTTCCCATGCAGCTTTTTGACTAGCTATCTGCTGTTCACGCAAGGATTTTAAACATAAAGAGCTAAAAGAAGTGCTGAACACTAGTCTCCAGAACAGTTGCAGGATCTGGTGCTGGATACTACTGAATATTGCTCTTCTGAAAATATCCGACAAATTATCTATAAAAAGAAAGCCAAAAAACTGCTGAACTCTTTTATTCCTTGCCCCTCTTCTTTGTCTAAGGAATGAATCTTAATGCCAGCATAAACTTAGTGTGTATGAATATATACATATATTTCTGAAATTACCTCGGGGGGGATTCAGTGACCCAAATAAACTATCCTCCTGCCTTTCCCTTGTTTTCCAAGTAAGATCTGGGAAGCAATAGTCTACATTTGTTATCTGATATTGTTGTTGTTATTATTATTATTTACTGTTGTAGCAGACATGTGGCTGGACTAATCAAGACTGAGGCTCCATTAATGTAGATGTTGCACCCACTGAGTTAAAAAAGCCACTGCTTTAATAAGGTGACAATCCACCTCAGGATTGTCAATCCACAAAGGTGTGTACCAGGGAGCAGGAGGAAAAAGGGAAGGCAAGAGTGGAGGGTACTCTAGTGTCATAAACCACCCGCATGCACAGGTTGATGGTTCCAATTCATCTCACCCCTCGGATTTCTAACGCTTCTCCATAAACTCTCCCCGCTGCCAGCTGGAAAAAGTGACCCGGGGCTCTGTGCACACAGACATACATACGTGTCTACGTGCGTGAATGTATAATCACCACGTTTTAAATAATTTAGTGCTCTTGGTTTTGTCCCGGACAGTCTCTCATCATCTGTACTTCTTAAAAAAAAAAAAAAAAAGAGAGTAGAAGAGGAAAAAGAATGTGTATGCATGTTTGTGCAGACAGACGATGTACTTGCATCTATAAACTCTGTGGGAGTTTGGGCCCCTCCTTATGCATAAACCGCCCTCCCTCCTGGGGAGTCTTCTCCTTAATGACGTTCACGCTAATTTAGACGCTCGGGACCGGCTCAGCCTCTCCCGGAGCCCGCAGCCTCCACAAACATCCTGAAAAGCAACCTGAGCAGACGTCCCTCCTCGAGGCAGATCCAGGGATTTTTCTCTCCCGGGCGGTTTAGGAGCTGGCGAGCGAGCGCTCGCGCTCGGGTTTTCCAGCGCCTGCTCCTCCACCAGAGACACCCTCCCGCCGCTCCCCGCCGGGCGCGCCGCTCACACGGCTCCGCCGCGCCGTGCGGGACGCGGGCACAGCGCGGCCGCTCCCGCCGCCAGAGAAGAGCTCCCGGGGAAGGGTCCATGGGCCGGGGCCGATAGGAGCCCCCCGCCGCCGCCTCGGGCCATGAGCGGGCAGCGGCGCCTCCGCGGGGGCTGAGCGGGGGCCGTGCCGTGCCGGGCCGTGCCGTGCATGCCGGCGGGGCGCGTCCCGCGGCGGGGCCCCGCGCCCCCCGCGCCGCCCCGCAGCCCCCGCCGAGCCGCGATGCCGGCGGCGGGGCGCGGGCAGCCCAGCCCCTGGCTGCTGGTGCTGGGCGCCGCCGCCCCCGCGCTCTGGCTGCGCTGCGTCCTCGCCGACTTCACGGTGGACAACGAGGTGCCACTCCAGCTTCATCCACCGGCGGCTGCGCGGCCCCGAGCGCCGCGAGATGCAGCGGGAGATCCTCTCCATCCTCGGCCTGCCGCACCGCCCGCGGCCCCACCTCCACGGCAAGCACAACTCGGCCCCCATGTTCATGCTGGACCTCTACAATGCCATGTCCGTGGAGGAGGGGGCGGCGGGGGCCGCCGCCGAGGACGGCGAGGGCTTCTCCTACCCCTACAAGCCCATCTTCAGCACCCAGGGGCCGCCCCTGGCCAGCCTGCAGGACAGCAACTTCCTCACCGAGGCTGACATGGTCATGAGCTTCGTCAACTTGGGTGAGTGCCGGGCTCGGCGGAGCCGGGTCCGGGGCAACCGGGCAGGGAACCGCGCCGGGGGGAGGCTGGAGCGGTGCCCTGGCCACCAGCGGGAGGACAAGGGCTGGTGGTGCAGGTGGCCGCGCTTGGGAGCTGTTTCCCAACGGGTCAGGTGGGTGGCAGCCCACCTGGGCAAAGGACAGGTAGCGGCCCTCGGAAAAGCGCCTCCTTTGCCAGGTAGTGGTTAAATGGCACCAGCGTGGAGAGGGCACTGACTCCCCATCACAGCATTTGGACAGCCACAAGCTTTCTCCACGCTCCACCCTGCGCGCCGACACACTGAGGTCTCCCTTTGATAGTTGCTGCACTTCAGAAATTGGATTTGCAGGTAGGAGTTACACAGGACGATTAGCAGGTCTGTTCCACACCCCACACTGCCAAGGAATACACGAAACCCAGACAGGACCACGGGTCCCGGCACAGCTCCCGGTGCCGGGCTGGCTCTCGTGCTGGATGCAGAGCCACCAGGGCTGCCTGGACGGATAGTTCCCTGCGGCATCCCAGCGCCGCGCTCCCGCGGCCGGAGGGGCTGAGCCGCTCGCACATGTTTTCCTAATGGCTTGGGAGGGATTCCACAGTAAATCCTTATTTACTCCTGCAGCTTTTCCTGTTGACCCCAGTTTATGCCGCTAACTCGCCTCTTTTCACAAGCACATGTGGATGGGTTTATGCAAACGATAGAGAGTTGGCACGCTTTGTATGCGCCTCGCTAGGCCTCTCTAATTGGATGCCACGGCCCAATCTGATTTCCATTTGCTCGCTGCAGATTGCACACCCGTGTGGACTGACTTGGCCGGATTTGAGTAAAACATTGTCAGGGTGCGCGTTCTATTTTAAATATGTAATTATAGACCTGGTTCACTCTATCCATTTTTAGACCTCATCATGTGTGGCTCTTAAACCACACATGTACAGACTGGGTGCCTGCAAGTTCAAGGCAGAACCTGAATTGTATTTCCAAAACAAGATCCACTCAGACTTTGTCCCAAACAAAGGGAGACACAAAGCACAAAAGGAGACCACCTCTGTCAGGTAACCTGCTAGGGATTACAGACCCCCATCTCCCATAAATCCATTAACACCCTTATGGATGTCACTGTTCTGGACACTTCCACTGTCTGGAACTTCAGAGGGAACAAAGATTAAATCACCATCTAAATCACCACCTCCGTAATCCCAGCACTTTAACCAACTTGAAAAGATCAGCAGCTGTAAAGGCTCTGTGACACACGTTAATAATTATTAGACACGGTAGCCATCCCGGCACAATTCGTGCATGATAAGGAGACACAGGACGCTGTGGGAGATCTCTAGTTTGCATGAGCTGCACCTCCTTATTAACTGCCATAAGCTTCACAGTGGGAAGCTTGGAATTACATCTGGCCCGGGGGCTGTGCTCTATGAGAGCTGGTGCTTTCCATTTGGAATTACAATGTTTGTCTAATCAGTGCTGGATCCTTAAGCCGATGAGCAATGATACATTTAAAATCAAATATTTGAGCAGTCAAAAGTACCAATGACAGTCAAATATTTGACTTTAGAGATAAGAGAGATCTTGCTAACACTATGCTCTGTGATTCTTGGGTCCTACACCGTGTACAGCCGAGTGCAAGGAGAGTCTCAAACAGAAGACAAAGGATGTTGAAATAACAATAGCAAAATTCACACTTCTCTTTCCATATCGGTAGAGAGGAGAGAACATTTATGAAACATGTAAGTACCTAATGGGAGGGAGTTTAGCCCTGGGGAAGCAGCTCTGCTCCTCAGGTGTAGTTATCTGCTGCATAACCTTCATCAGTGAAATTATCTGCTGCATAACCTTCATCAGTGAAACTGCAACGCTCCTGTCCCATGCTTCCAATGTAAGGAAAAGTCTCCCTGTCAGCCCATGGAAGAGGTTCACTCCTAATGTTCAGGTCACTTATTATTTTGAATTCAAAGGAGTGGAATCGATCCATAAACTGTGAAATAAAACTTAACATTTTGGATATGTCTGTGTCTATGTGAGAACTCTATACAGAGCAGGTTTAACCTGTATAAGCCATAAGAAACCAATAGTCAACAGCCCGATGTGATGGGACGGCTACAGAGGATATTTCATTTGTTTTGACCTGCCAGGTTTTATGGTCAGCTTAGAAACCCAAGAGTGTTCTTGATGCAAAATACTAAACGATCATTTTATTTAGATGCTGTCAGCGTGGTCAGTGAGTAGTAAGAGTGCTGGCAAAATCCAACAGTTTTAAGGACAGGTGGAATTACTACCAGCAAGGCACATTTTGGAGGTTTATCTGTGCTGTTTTGTTCCCTTGTCAACAGTGCATGCCAGGACGAGTTTAAAAAGGACATAGATCTATAATAGCTTTCTTCATCCCTGTGCACACCTTTCATCCCATTATAGTCATCGCTCTTTCATCTTTATAGGACAAAGACAGGCCTGTTTATGGACGTTTTAATGAATTAGACCAGCCAGTCGCTCCGTATATAGTCAAACACAACACCTGCTTTGAGACGTACAGTTTTCTATGACATTCAGGGAAAATTAGAACATCTATTGTAGGACTGAATTTTTTTGGAGACTTTCTACAATGATCCCTTTTAAAGCAGAGCTGAATTCCTAAATGCAGACTGTAGTAAACTGTGTCCTACTTTTGTAAGAGATACTCTGTGAGCATTGCATTTCGCAGGTAGGCTTTTATTACTATACTAGAGCCATCACAATGAGGAAGTGTCACAGTATAATAAAGTTTCATTTCAGAATGGAGGAAGTAAAAGTGAGTAAAGAAATAATACTTTTAAATTTCATTCAATAAAACATGTTAATTCCAGGCTTCCAAGTGCGAATTTATAAAAGCACTTTTTTGCCTTATTCATATTCTTCATTTACCCAGTTTTACAATTTCAGAAGGAAAAATATTAAAAAAAAATTACATTGCAAGATTTACTGGGATATATAGTAAAAAAGCCAACAACAAACCCCACACACATTGATTTCTATGGAGATACTGTGTATATTTATTCTAGAGAATTTATACTGGGTATTGGTAGGGAGGAACCAAAATACAGGTGCTCCGTTTCAGGGAGCTTTTTACTAAGCATGTAATGTTACTGTAAAATCTTGACAATTAATTAGATTTAGATTTATAACCAGTTAATTCACAGGCTACATTTTGTCTTAGCTTACACCTGTGGTAAGATGGATGGGGAATGGATTTTTGTCAAGAATGAAGTTACATGTAAATTAAAAGAGAATTTAGCCACAGTGGTCTGACTAAGTTAGTTAATTACTGGCTAATTTTGTAAAATTTATTACTGTAATTTCAGTATTTAGAATTTCGTTTCTGTCCAAGTACAGTTTACAAACTGAACCATTTTAGGAACTGAAAAAATGCAAAGCATTTTTTGCACAAGTTTAATTTCAAGTTTATAAACAGCAACTAAGGAGTAAACATCCTCTAGATGACTTAGACCTTCTCTTCTAAAAATAATTGAGTTGTCCTTATGCCGGTAATCTTGCCTTGGTAAACAGAGTTGCTTAGAATATTTTTAAAAGAGTCGGCACAAGTGATATGCAATTTGTTAATTTGTCTCGTGGTTGATTATAAAATGAACAACATTGTTTAATCCTGGCAAAAAAGAAGTGGGGGGGGAATTAGTCATTCTTGGAAGGAGCACTTGAAAGTGGCTTTTGTTAATATAAATCAAGAAGCTGAAGAGCCCCCAAGTTTCCTTTTATTTCATACCATCTGGCTATCCTTTTTGTTGACAAGTGTTTGGCATAGAGAACCATCTCTTTGCCCTTTAATAACAGGCTTTAACACTGTAGGGTATTAGAAAAAGATTCTATAACAGTTAAAAAATTTCCTTCGGGGAATACTTTATAAAGTGAGCACGGGCTGCAGGCATTTGCAGCTGTAACCTGGCTTGTGTTAAAATTTGGAAGGGGCTGCCTTGCATTCCAGCTCACTACAGGCCTTCATTGGTGTACAGCCAAAGGTTAATATAGATGTCACACAGTTTTTCTTTGGAGAGCCTCAGATATAAGAGTATGCGTACAGCTGTGTTTTTAGTAACCCTTTCATAATCACTTCTTTTAAACCTCATTTTCCTGCTTATATAAATCAAAGATTTTCAAGGATATTTGACCTGGATTTGAACTTATTTGATCTTCACATATTTCCCACTTGAAACAAAGCAGATTAAAAGTTAGCCCTGGATGCCTGGTCCCGATCACATGGCTTGTCCATACATTAGTCCCAAGCCCTTGGTGTTTTTTTTTCCTCCTCCACCTAACGCTGCTAGAAGCTCTGAAGCCTGAACAGGTACATCCCATAATTGTTTTGGGCAGTGTGGATATGTGCAACACTTGGTGGCAGAACATTAGCTAAGGAAGGCAGAAAGCTTACAGCAAAGTGAAGGTATGCAGGACACTGATGTGCAGCAGGTATTCTTTGAATGTACAGGCATGTTCTAGAGAGAATTCAATTAATTTCTAGTGGCAGAACAGAACAGGAACTATTTACCTCTGCTGTGCTGGTGCACTGGTAGCAGAGAAAGGAGCAGCTGAGGACAGATGTCCTTATGCAAGAAAAAAGGACATGGAAGTTGTCACCGCCCCCCACCCCGCTTGCACACAGTGGATTTGTCCCAGAGCAGGATCTTTCCTCCTTTCCCACCCAGGCTGTTCTGGGGGGGGGGGAAGCCCCCTCTGTGAGCTATAGTTTAAAAGACAAAACACAGCGGCTTGTAAAGTGCTTTTGAAGGAGACAAGCCTTGATGGCCAGGTCTTGTGATGCTGGTAACGGGAGCTGGGCACCAGTGGAGCGTGCGGGACCTGCTCCCACCCGCACGCTCGTGCCCCCGGTTGTGCTGTGCGTGTGCTGTGTGTGTGTGTGGGTGTTGTGGGTGTTTGTGGTGCGTGTTGTGGGTTTTGTGTCTGTGTGTTGTGGGGGGGGGGTTGTGGT